CCGCATATTTAATTTTTGGAATAACCGACCATAGTATACAAATAAAAGTGACAGAAAGCTTACGTTACGTTTAGTTTAGTTTAATTTTTGGACTTAGTTTATAAGTCATTGCTTGAGGCAAGCTAATAATTATGTGCTAGCCAGAAAGCTTACGTTTAGTTTAGTTTAAGAATTGCATTTAAAGTTTATGAATAAAAATAAGTTTTTTAAACTTATTCTACATTTTAGTCATCAGTTCTAGGAAATATTTTTCTATAAGTAATGACTAAGATGAAGAGTAAATTTTAAATTTACTCTTGAAGTAAATTAGTCTCTCTATAAAAAAAATTAGGTTAACAAAGTTAAGCAGAACTATTTTCTACACAGTTACACAAACTTTTAGATACAAGCTTATAATGGAAAAATTACGTGGATAGTGTTTTGACTACACTATTCCACAATTAGTGCACCTTGAAAAATAATTATGGAAGTAGTGTAGATTTGTGGGATCTCGTGGCTACCATTCACGAGATATCAATCTTGTGCACCAGAAATGTTATTTACGGTGCAATCTCGTGTACTCCAAACACGAGAAACAGGTGTGTCAGGTATGCTTAAATGTCGTGCACCGTGTGCACGACTTAACTTTATGTCTTGTGCATGGGAAACACGAGATCCTATGATATATATAAGTCATTCACCATTTGCCCAATCACACGGAAGCAGCAAGGAAATTTTGTTTTCCGTATTTAAGGTAAGATTTTTTTATGTTGGATAGTGTAGTTAATTTATTTATTATTGATGTAGTTTAATAATTATTATTGTGTTGTTACTAATTGTTGATATATATTGCATGTAGATGGTTATTATTAGACATTTTGTGAGCGATTTCAGTGATGAAGAGGACATTGAAGTATGTTGTGATGATGATGACGATGTTCAGATTACTTCTTCTGAATCGGTTAGCAAAACATATGCTACTCCTTCAGTTTTTTTCGTTACCATTGATTCTCAAGCAGGACAGGATTTTCCAAATATTAGTATAATTTACACAATAATTTGGATGATGATTTGTTTATTGGTATGCATTTCGAATCAAAAGAAGCAACAATAAATGCTATAAAACAATTTCATATTAAGAATTTTGTTGATTACACTGTTGTGGAGTCTAGGCCTGATAGATACATTAGACAATGTAAATATTTTGGTGTTGGATGTAATTTCCGAATTCGAGCATCTATTAACGTAAAGTGTAATTTGTGGGAGATTAGAAAAATTAGTGGAAGACACACTTGTGTATCCACTTGTATTTCCCAAGATCACACGAAATTGAGCTCATCATTCATTGCAAGCTGTATTATCCATTTAGTTTCTGAAGATCCTGGTATACCAATTAAATCACTAGTAAAAGAAGTTGTAAGTCGATTTGGTTATACGGTAACATATAGGAAGGCTTGGACTGCTAAACAAATAGCAATGTCCCAAATTTATGGGGATTGGGAGGGATCGTAGAAGGAGTTACCTTGTTGGTTGAATGTTGTTGAGTGTAATTTACCTGGTACAATTGTAAGATACGCAGCATCTCGCCATGAAGATGATAATACTTTAATTATGGATAGAGTATTTTGGGCTTTTAAGCCTTGCATTGAAGGATTTCTGTTTTGCAAACCAATCCTTCAAGTATACCAATCATTCATTGCAAGCTGTATTATCCATTTAGTTTCTGAAGATCCTGGTATACCAATCAAATCACTAGTAAAAGAAGTTGTAAGTCGATTTGGTTATACGGTAACATATAGAAAGGCTTGGACTCCTAAACAAATAGCAATGTCCCAAATTTATGGGGATTGGGAGGGATCGTAGAAGGAGTTACCTTGTTGGTTGAATGTTGTTGAGTGTAATTTACCTGGTACAATTGTAAGATATGCAGCATCTCGCCATGAAGATGATAATACTTTAATTATGGATAGAGTATTTTGGGCTTTTAAGCCTTGCATTGAAGGATTTTTGTTTTGCAAACCAATCATTCAAGTGGATGGGACATTCCTTGCTGGAAAATATTGTGGAACATTGCTAATTGTCAGTTCACAAGATGGTAATAGACGTGTTTTTTCAGTTGTTTTTGCCATTGTCGAAGGAGAGACTAAAGAAGCTTGGGAGTGGGTTTTCTACAATCTTCGGACTTATGCTACTCCGCAACCAAATATATGTATAATTTCAGATAGGGGAACTGGTTTATTGGGTGCACTACGTACTGAGCTGCCGCCATGGTTGAATGCACAATCGGTATATTGTATTCGTCATGTAGCTAGCAATTTCAACAAGGAGTTCAAATATACAGATCTTAAAGATAAAGTCGTTGAAATGAGTTAGTATTAATTTATTTAATGCCTAATTAATTTGTATGTATTTTTTGATAATAATTATGTTCATGTTCATGTAAATGTTGTAGGTTATGAGTTGGTACGGCAACGTTTTGAGCGAATGTTTAGTGCTTTGCTCCAAAAAAATCCAAGAGCAGCTGCTTGGTTAGACAACATACCAAAAGAAAAATGGACACAATCATATAATGATGGGAGACGATATGGTCATATGACGACTAATCTAGCAGAATGCGTTAATGGTGTTTTGAAAGGTTCAAGAGCTTTGCCTATCACTGCCCTAGTTAGAGCAACATACCATAGGTTGAATTCATGGTATAAAACCTAACATACATACCATGCGTAATGCAGTCTCGTGGATTAAAAATGGTACTACGTAAATCGTGTTTCCGGTGCACGAGATTCATTTTCATGGCATGAGTCTCGTGAACCTGGTCCACGAGAATGCAGAGAGAGTAGCATTCCGGGTCCACGAGATTTGTAAGTCGTAACTGACATTTACGACAACCTAATATCTACGCTACTTCCGTAATTATTTTTTAAGGTGCACTAATTGTGGAATAGTGTAGTTAAACTACACTTTAACTACACTATCCACGTAATTTTTCCAGTTTATAACCTTACCTAAAACAATATTCTAAACTTGATAGGTATTGTGCCCGAACTAATATCTTATTTATTTATTTTTTACGTTGAACCATAGTCAATCGTTTCTTTCATATATATCATTATTAGTTAAGTATATTTTATACTTTGATAAGTTATAATTGAGTTCGGTACGTTATCATTGAATCATACTTCATTGCTACAATAAACTATTGACTAGCCACTATAAAATTAGTTATGGCATAATAATAAAATTATTGATACTATTCATATGACATCCTTTAACATCAAAGCCCCAAATCCTATACATTAATACGGGAATCATAAATTGGTCCGATGATTATGATTAAGTGTTTAAGGAATGAAGTAAATCTCATTCATAATAAATACTAACATAATAACATTTGCCGATAAAAAAACATTCACATTTATATTTTTTATTTCTATGATGTCATCATATCAGTGTAATGAAAACTGTGCCGTACCGGCCGGTTCGACTAGAAAACCGGCGAACCGGACTCCTAACCGGTACGGCTGTTGTACCGGACACACAAGAGAACCGGTTGAAAACCGGTCAAAACCGGTGAACTGGTTAAAACCGGCCGGTTTGTGTATATATATATATATATATATATATATATATTTTTTTTTTAAATTTCATATATATAAATTGCGTTTGTTAAGTGATAATTTTGGATTGATATATGTTTTGCACTTTAGACTTTGTTTGTTATATGTTTACATATATATAAATTATAAATCTGCTTTGGATTGATATATTTAGATTATGAATATGAATTATAAATCTGAATACCTACTTATTTGAATTTTGTTTGTTATATGTTTACATATATATAAGGAAGTATGTCCGGTTTAACTGACATTCGGACCGGTTGAACCAATGTACCACTATACCAGTACCCTAACCGGTTTAATAACCGGTACGGTTTTAATAGCATTGCATCGTATATTATGATAGAAAAGTAATTCTCCGAACATTTGTTTCATTCTATCATGGATGAGTAAGACTCTTCTCCATTAATGGAGAGGCAAGTACTCAAAAAAATCAAAGAAAGTGAAAGATGCAATATCACTTTTGTCCTCTTTATTTAAAAGATTTACACATTTACCCTTATAATACACATAGAAAATTCATTTATCTCTCCATTAATGGAGAAGAATCCTACTCATCATGGATAGTTCACACACCTTTTGAGAATGGTGATTCAAATACAATATTTTCATGATTTATCTTCTCAATTATTAGTTTATTTTAGATTCTAAGCTACTTTTATTAGATTTTATTCAATTAATTAAGCATTAATAAGAATATAAATATTAATTGATCCTAATTGAAGGTTACCATGCAATAATGGATACGGAGACAAATATGAGAAAAGCACTCCATGAGCAATTAAGGATCCTTAAAACAACGAAAAAGTTGAAAATATTATTATGGGAAGTGAGGATAATTAAGTATTAGTAACAATAAATCGTTCTGGTAAATAAAAATACTATTTTATCTTAATTTCAGATTACAATGCAAAATGGAAAGGGAAGTAAACCGGATTACTCGCCCCACTTTATATATCCAGCCAACCGATCACAATACTGCTATATGGATAAAATAATAAAATAAAAAATAACAAAAAATGAAATTTTGATTGATCCAGGGACATGGAATGAGACAGGTGATTTGTGTTCCACTCCATGAGCAATTAAGGGTCAAGGAAAGAAGTTGAAATAATCTTGGTTTTTCTTGGTTTTTTATACATCATTTGGCTTCCATCTAAGTCCCATTAATAGAACCATTTGTGCAGACATAAACGGTTATCCACATTCCCACTTAAATGAAACGATGATTTATAAATGAAATGGAATTGTTGACTTGTGTTAATTATAAATTTCATGTTTTAATCAAGTAATAGTAGCTACCATAAGGAACGGCTTTGGCTTCAATGAAATAAAGAAAACAAAAAAGAAATTGATGAATCTGTACAAAACTACAAATGCCAAAGAGTATTTAAGGCAAAGATGGATCAGATTAATTGGCTTGATCTCTCCAAAGAGAAATAAATTCGCACAGAAATATCAGCGTCGATCATCTGGGAAATAATCATCATATCCATCTAAGCAATAGATTATTAGACACTAAACATTGACAAAATATTCATAAAATTAAAACAACAAATATTGAAACTTGGAGAGAGAATAATTGGAAAGGATGAATATGAAGCACAAATAAAACAAACCCAGAAACTTAAAAGCAATTGTAAAACTAAAACAGTAAAAAAGATTGAAACTTGGAGAGAGAGGATTAAAAAAAACTGGCAAAAGAATAGGGTTAAGGTATGTTTATAAAGGGGGATAGTGGGAAAGAAACCCTAATTGCATTAAACCCAAATTTGAAAAGAGGTCGTGGGTTGATTGAAGTGGCCCATTGGGCCTCTGTTGCATTTGTTGGGCTAGCCATATTCAACCGACCTGAACAAATAAAGAGTATAAATACAAATTTTAAACTAAGGGTGATATTCTTATTGCGATGTCTCACTTTGTGTACTAAGCTAATTAGAAATTTTCATTCAATTCAAAAGAAAAATAACAAAATCAGAAATTAAAATATTTTAATATTATTTTGTAAAATTTGATTGGTTATGGATATAAGGATAAGAAAATTCTGGGGTAGATGATCATTATATAACAATTCAATCCAGCGTATACAGAAACCGATTGCAAGAAGAAGAAGACAAAAAAATCAATCCAATTAAATTAAGAGAATAATGTATCTCCTAGTATAAAGAGATAAGTTATCTTCTCCAGCCACTAAAATCGTGACATGTGTACCATTTAATCATTTTCTACAAAAATATTTCTAAAATTAAACAAAACAATACAATGTCATTCTTCTACTGGCTTGATGAGATAAGTTATCTCATAATATAAGGAGATACATTATTCTCTTAAATTAAAGCAACTAGTTTTACACAATTATCTACTGTGTGAGATATGCTTTAGATCTTTAATGGCTTGATTAATATGGTGTATGTTTGTGTAACTTTTTTTGGTCACATCATCAATTCCTGAACATAATTTCTGAAGTAACTAAAGGCTCCAATATAATAGTATCTTATGCTAAGATAATCATACTCCAACTTTTTGCTATTGGTGTTGTTTGATTTTGGAATAGGTTTGCTTTAAGAGTTAACATATATGCTCCAATAAGGATATAGGTTAAGCTTAACTAACACTCCCAATCTTCTCAAATGGTGTGTGCTATTTTTGCACATATGTTAAGAGTCCTTAGCTAACAATAACATGGCATGTCACATTTCCTTTTTTAATATAATAACTATTGATTAAAGGAATAAATATACATCAAAAGAGATATCTAAGAAGGCATAAATGCATGAGATTGTTGACTTATAAGGACAATTCATAATGTGTTCTATTACCAAAGACTTCATTTGTGTTGGAGATAACTCACTCACTCACACTCACATGACAGAAAACAGTGAAGGGAAGAAGATGAATGAATAGTAAATCAGAGAGAGAAGAATTTTGGAACTTTGCACATGTGTATTCAACTTACACATTGCTTAAACCTCATTCTATTTATATCATTTCTAACAACTTACACAACTAACTTTCCACTTATAGTTTCTTGAATTACAAACTTCTAATAATCTCCCTTAATTCAAAAACTATTAAAAACATATTACACTAAGCATTTTTCTCAAATCTCTAAATCTATCAAACTTCAAAGCCTTTGTCATGATATTTGCAACTTGCAAATCTGTTCTGCAATGTTTCAAGTTGATTTTGCCTTTCCCAACTTGATCTCTTAGAAAGTGAAACTTTCTCTCTATGTGTGTCGCGCCCGGATTTTCGGCCACGCGACCTCTTTAGGAGTCGCCACCATGTTTTTTGCGGTTAAAACATGGAAAACTCAATTTGAGCCCAAATTGGATAAAAATGGTCTTTTTAATCAGAGATATGGATTCGGGAGTCGATTATGGATTGGGGAAGGTATTAGCACCCCGTCCGCCCGTACTAAAACGGTACCCTCGCTAATAACATGGACTTTTTATACCCTTAAAAATTATTTAAACATTCAATGATTGAAACAAATTATTTTATTTTTTATTTTTGTGTCTGACAAGATATTATCTTGCTCCTACGTATCCCCAGATGCAATAGGGAAATCAAGACTACGTAGTTCTAGTTTGAAAATCGGTTGGGATTGGTTTATTTGATTAAAAAAGGGATATTATCCACTTTAAGAAAAGATGAAGCAGCAAAAGCTAATGTCCGCACCGCATCAAAACTTAAAGAGGTTTTAAAATAATTAGAACATATTTGAAATATAGTTAAAATTTCATCATCTTTAAGATAGACGAAGCAGTAGAAGCTAAGGTCCGCACCGCATCAAATCATAAAGAAGTTTTCCAAAATAAAGATATCTTTGAATTAAAGAGTCAAATTATTTTATTATATTATAAGAAAAAAACTTTAGTTACTTGATGCTTATGGGCGTAAATACGTAATGATTAATATGAAGATAATACCTCAATTCTTAATTAAATAGTTAAAATATATACGGTACATTCAATAAATTTTACTTTTTATGATATAATGATCAAATAAAATTAATAAAATGATAAAATATAATGAATACTCAATTGCAACAACCAACAGAATAGACTACTTTATTTGGAATAGTGGTTATCAAATCATATATTAATAGAGACAAATAACAAATGAAAATAAATTATGAAAAACATGGAAAAACAAGGATGAAAGATAAGGATTTGGAGTGAGTGAGAAGGATGGTGACAATGAGAGGAAATGTAGTGCAGAAATTTTGTTTAGTGGAAAAACACATGAATAGTTTTATGAGATACTAGTGTCATCATCTTGTTGTGAATGTACAATGAATTCTTAAAATAAATAGGATAAGAGACATTTCTAAGAGCATTGATGTTATATACGACAAGCTTACCATTCCACCATGTGATGAAAGAGAATAAGAATCCTTGGAATCTCCCATTTGGTTGTGCACGTGAGAGAGTGTGCTTAGAAAAGCCATCTTTTCTATGAAGAAGACCATGCCCCATATATGCTACAAATGTGGCTCTTTATGCACCATAATGAGAGAATCATCCTATTAAAGTATTGACTGAAGAAAATGAGAGATGTTTCTTTTTTCCTTTTTTAAAAGTTGAATGCGGTCTCTTTCAAGGCCAAATGAAGCATAGTTGTAGCACATAGAAAGTTCTGGTTGGAATGAGGCATATTGTGGTGTTATTACGACATTGATTTGCATTATTGCAGTGTTATTACTGCCTTAATTGTATTGATTAGTGTTATTACTGCCTTAATTGTATTGATTTGCATTATTGCAGTGTTATTACTGCCTTAATTGTATTGATTAGTGTTATTACTGCCTTAATTGTATTGATTTGCATTATTGCAGTTTTATTCAAATCTCAATCACCGCTTGAATTAAGCATATGGCCAACGGCTTAAGTTATTGCATTGCATGCTGTAAATTCGAATGTAATTTATTACCAAATGTTATACAATTGATTCATGTTCTTAATTCTAGCATATGACAAAAGTAGTATCAAAGCCAAATTTTAAACTTGTGTAGTTGAGGTAGAAATACATTAATATTGTTGTTTATTTATTTGAGAAGGTATTTTGGGCCGGACAAAATTGGGTACTCACAGCTGCCCCTCTTTACTTGTTGTTTATATGACAGCACATAAACTCATGTTTGGGTGTTGTCGCGTTAAACGACTAGTAAAGAAATGAGTGCTAATTTTGGACGGGGCCTGGAAAAAAAACTTTTGTGTTGACGAAGCGGGATGAGGTACAACGGTCTTTTCGTTTGAGGGTGCTCAGCACATGGGGATAAAAATGTCAAGCACGAGGTAGAGAAAAGAATGACTTCGAAGTCGTCAAGCACGGGGCCCTCGAAGGCATGGACTGAGGTCGTCAAGCACGGGGGTCCTCAATCTCATAATTTTGAGGTCGTCAAGCACAGGGATCCTCAAAATTATAGATTTTATAAAATAGCCAGACACTAAGCCTGAAAGTGATGGTTTCGAGGTCGTCAAGCACGGGATCCTCGAAGGCAGAGATTGAGGTCGTCAAACACGGGGGTCCTCAATCTCATAATTTTGAGGTCGTCAAGCACGGGGGTCCTCAAAATTATAGATTTTATAAAATTGACAGGCACTGGGCCTGAAAATAAATGACTTTGAGGTCGTCAAGCACGGGACCCTCGAAGGCAGAGATTGAGGTCGTCAAGCATGGGGGTCCTCAATCTCATAATTTTGAGGTCGTCAAGCACAGGGGTCCTCAAAATTATAGATTTTATAAAATAGACAGGCATTGGGCCTGAAAATAAATGACTTCGAGGTCGTCAAGCACTGGGCCCTCGAAGTTATAGATTGAGGTCGTCAAGCACGGGGGTCCTCAATCTTATAATTTTGAGGTCGTTAAGCACGGGGCCCTCGAAATTATAGATTTTATAAAATAGTCAGACACTGGGCCTGGAAATAATGACTTCGAGGTCGTCAAGCACGGAGTCCTCGAATCTTAAAATTTAAAACTTTTCTAGTGAATGATGTAATGGGATATGTGGTTCATGAAGTTCATGTTGATGATTGAATTGTACAAATTCGACTATGCGTTGAGTGTATGAGTATGCATAATGATGTTGTTGGTTTTTTATGTAAGAAATTTATAGTTTAAGGATTCCGTTGTCTGAATGCTTATGAATGCAATATTATGAATGTTCATGTTGATTATAGTTATAATGATTGATGTATGAATGTTATTATGCATTGATTTTTATGGTGGTGTAGGGTGATCTTTATTATGCATGTAACTCAAATGGGTGATATTATGACTAATGTAAATATGCATTGATTTGAATATGAATATCTTTTTATGTAAGTATGTCATGTATGGTATGAGTGTTTTGTTTGAATGAAATGCAAATGTTCTAATGCATCACTCATGGTTTATTTCTTGGATGAAATTCATCAACTTTTATGGTCTCCACTGAAGCGTCTTTTGTTGTTTGATTGGTGGTATAGCTTTTCATCCATCAAATCGTAGC